CTATATTCAATGGAGTTTACAAGAATGAGGGGAATATCTTAGAAATCTATAAAAATTCCAACAAGGTTAAACAGCATTGAAGCAGGAAAGATGTTTTCATTGACCAGGGTGTCTGAAACCAGGGATCACATTCTAAAGATATGGGATAGGCCTTTTAGGACAGAGTTGAGGAGAAATGTCTTCACCCAGAGGGTGCGAGCCTATAGAATTCTCTGCCATAGCAAACTGAAGTTAAAACACTGAAGATGTTCAAGAAAGATGCTTGTGTGGTTCTTAGGACTAAAGGGATGAAAAGGTATGGAGAGGAAGTGGGAGCAGGGTACTAAATTGGATGATTGGTCATGATCATATTGAATGGCAAATCAGGTTCAGAAGTCCAAATGGCCTACACTCCTGTTCCTATATTCTATGTTACCTGAGTCAAGCTGAAAAACGTTTGTAATGAAACAAAAATCACACTTGAAAATATATCTATCCAAACTGCTTCCTTAATTAAATACTAGGCATGTCCAACAAGGAAGGGCATTATGCTAGAAATGGTACTTGGCAATGATGCACAACAAGTAACTGCATTGACTTTGGAGAACACTTTGTAAATAGCAGTCATAACTAAAAGAAAAACATAACTAATTTCTTTCATTTTCAATGTGAACCTAAGGAAAGGTGTTGAATCATAAAAGATGCATTTGAAGAACGAAAGAAACTTGAATCCAGATTAATCTATTGTCCTTTACAACTGATTAACAGCAAACCAACAGTGACATACATATGAAAAAAAAATGTTATTTCTCTCCCATTCATTGTATTCTTTCACGAGACGTGAGCATTGCTGGCAAGGCCAGCATTTCTTACCCATCCCTAATTAACATTAAGAAGGTAGCTCATCACTACCTTCTCAAATTACTGCAGTTCATTTGTTCTAGCTACACACACACTGTGAAGCTAGGCAGGGAATTCCAGGATACTGACTAAGTCACAGTAAAGGAACAGTAATATAGGGCCAAGTCAAAATAGTGTGTAGGTTAGAGGGAAACTTGCACTTTGTTGTTCCAGGAATCTGTTGACTTTGTTTAGAAGGTGCTGTCAAAGCAGCCTTGGTGAGATATTGCCATTTATAGTATAATTATGCCGCATTTTGTACACAGTTGCATATTGCTGCCATTGTGTGTTGGTGATGGATGGGGTGCAATAAAGCAGGCTTTTTTGTACTTGATGGTGGTCGAGTGTTGTTTCAGCTGCACTCATCGAGGCAGGTGGAATTTATTTCAGCAGACTCCTGACTTGTGCCTTGTAAATGGTGAACATCTTTGGGGGTCAAGAGGTGAGTTAATGCACAAAGAGTTCTTGCCCTCTATCTAACTACTCATCTAGCGATAGTATTTACGTGCCAGGTCCAATTAAGTTTCTACTCAATGGTAACCCCAATCTCTATCTTGATGCAGAGCTCCAGCAAGGAGCAAAGCAAACTAGAGGAATAACTCCCAATCTTCTGTTTGGGAACTTAACAGCCTTCAGGACTCAACATCAAATTGAATAATTTTATAGCATGAATACCTCCTTCCATCTCTATTACCTATCCCTTGATCCCAGGTGCTGTCAAGACATGAGTTGCTTTCAGCACAGCCTACCTATTTTCAACTAATCATGGCCCATATTATCACCTATCCAGCTTCTCTACTTCCACAGCTTACTATCAACAATCCATTTGTTTGCTTCTTCTTTTTCTCTCTCTAGGCTCTAGCTCTGTCTATCCACTCATTCCTTTTCCCTCCCAACTCTCATCAGTATAAATATCACCTTTCCCAGCTGTTATCCATCCTGAAGAGTGGTTGCTAGACTCAAAACGTTAACTATTTTCTCTCCACAGATGCTACCAGACCTGAGTTTCTCCAGGAATTTCTGTTTTTGAATCCAATCTATCTTACTCATTATGTCAATGCACTATGACGTATCTGCTTTCTGATGGTTTGATTGGAGTTTTAGAATTAACCCCATGTCCACACTTGGGAGGCATCTGGGTGAAGTATTGGGTAAGCACACTTCAGCCGCAATAACAAAATAATCTCAATTCAATAAATAGAGATTAAAGCAAAAATGAGGTTTAAAAAAAAAGACATAATAAATATTGAATAATAATGCATAAGAAAATTGAAAGTATAAATAATGAGTTTGGCAAACAAAGAAAAATGGAAGTTGCAATACATTTTACAGGCAGATAAGCTAAATAATAATGATGAAAAAAAAAATCACGTTACAATCAGAAATGGTGGAGGTCATATGGCATTTCAAAACGAGGGAACAGCAGAACCGCTTTAAGTACCGCGCATCTGGTTTTTCAGGATGGTAAAATCATAATGCAAGACAACTCAAGAATCATTTAGAAGGGCTGCTACTAGAGATAAAGCTATGAAAGTATACAATACTACAAATTGCTGCTTGATAGTATAGAACTTGGAGATAGCGCATTATCAGGCAAAGCTCTTCAACCAGCTAAATGCTAGAATGGCAACACATCAACCAGAATTGATTTGCCAAACAATTAGCAGCCTTTTCTCCTGTAGTATTAAGTGTTGTGATCATTTGAGATTTCGCATTCTTACATTTATTGTGATGAATACAAAATGAAAAGCTTCCACAAGACGTCTCTCTTTTCAGCTACATTACAAATTAAAGAGGACTAACAGCAACTGAATAACCAAATCAAGATGGCTTGCATTTCTCAGAAATCAAGGTCGTCTCTGCAGGAATGGTTTCACTGAAGGAGAGTGGTAAATACTACTATATTGTATTGGAAAAAGGATATTATAGGAAATTAAAGGCCAATTAGTCTTGGATCATTTGTAGGTGAGTTTCTGCAGTCCATGATATTGGGAATGAGATTAGTCAATACTTAAAAAGATGTGGATTAATCAGGGATAGTTAGTTAGTTAGAATTTTTAAAAGACAAGTCACGCATTCCTGACCAATCGGTTTTCCCATTGGATTACGATGTATTTTCAGGAGTTGTGAAAACGTAAAACATGCTATTAAAAAAAAGAGATTATAGCCACATAGATTAAAAAAAAGGAAGAAAAACA